TAAGTCCTTTATTGTTTTGTTTATTTTTTTTCTAATTCACTTGTTGTTTACATTTCAGCTTTTTTTGTTTTTTGGTCTGTGATATATTAATTTTAGTAACAATTTCAAAATTTAGAACTTTCCCTCACTCTGTGGGCCTCACCTTCTATTTCATAAAATATATATATGAAATATGTATACTAATATATACATCAGTCCAGAAGGGGCTAATATCTGGACTGGAGTTTTAGGTTTCATCCTCATGCATAACCTCTGGGCAGGGTGTTAATTTAGAAGGCGAGTAAAAAACCCAAGTCACTAAACATGAACTCTCAACTCTTGTTCCCAAAAACTTTTGGAGGAGGGGGCATTGCTGGGGATCAAATCTAGGGTCTTGTTCACGCTAAGCCATCAGTCTACCAGTGAGGTACATCCCCAGCCCTTTCCCTTAGTAACCTCTATTCTGATGATGGACTGAATCACGGCCATTCCAACTTGGAAGTGGGGAAGGAAGAAACTTAACTGAACCAGACTTCCTCTTTTGCAGTTCCCAGTGACTTACTACATTTCTTTTCACAGCCAGGTTTTTGTAAGTTTGTGTGTATTCTATATGGCTTTACTTCTATTATCTCTGTGCATTTTATCTTGCCTCCATAAGTCTCAAGTTGTTCAACAGGATATATAATAACTCCATCGTCTAATGCAGTAAATTCTTTTGGGACCTTATTTTATTCTAGCTCTTTATGAATGCTTGTAACTTTTTATTGTTTTATTTTGAGACAGGTTTTTGCTTCGTAGCCCAGGCTGGCTTCAAACTCATAATCCTTCTGCTTCAACTACCCAAGTGCTGGGAATTCAGATGTGCCTTATCACTCACTGTTTATTTGAAACTTTATTGCTTCCGTCTATTTGTTTGTGTTCCTTAACTATCTAGATCCTTTGCTTGGGGGACCTTACTCAGGTCATCAGCTGCCACTATGTTATGGTAAGTTCCACCTAAGAAAGGTAATGTGGAGTGTATGTAACTCCTGGATGGGAATCCTAGATCTAGCACCACTAGCTTTGTAACTGTGGGTGAATTCTTTACTTTTTTGTACCTCTGTTTCTTCTTTATTTTTCTTCAGAAAAATGGAAATATTAATAGCACCTACTCCTTAGGTTACTGTTAGGATAACTGAGTTAATGACTTCATAAAGCACTTAGGACACTGACTAGAAGGTAATAAGAACAATGTAAGTATTGATTGATGGTTTGTTTTTGTTTTTGTTTACCATTTTCATCATTATCTCAGTTGAGTTCCAAATTCTCAGTTTTCTTTTTTCTGGAAGCCAAGTAAGTTATACCTGACAAGTTTCATATAATCCATCGAGGTTACAAAGGCCTTCTCTTCAGCGCTAAATGCCCCTCTGCTACCTTATACTTACCTTTCTGTCATACTGTCCTAGAACTTGTTTGTGATATTCTCTTGCTGCACTGATTGCATAAGGGCAGTAACTATCTTTTTTATTTTGTATTTCTAGTACTTTCCACAAGGCCAGGCTTGTATTATTGCTTCTTAAGTAGTTGTGTTTCTGAGTAAATATACAACTTAAAGACTCAGTTTCTTTTAATATCTTTTAACTGTCATCACCAAAGTGATTTTTGTTAGTAGTTTATTGTTTAAAACTTTTGATAGTTCCTGATACCTTAAGGATAAAAATTGTGATTGTCTATAACATTAGAACTTCCCAAATTCAGCTTCTGCATGATTTTCCCCCCAATATGCCATATCTCTCTGAGTTATTGCCAGCTTATCCACTCTTAGGGTATCCGGGTTGATAGAACCAGACAAGTGCCAGCACTACCTGCCCTTGGTGCATATAAATACCATATTGGCAAAGGTGCAGTAGTGAGCCAATCTGTCATCTTGTCCTTTTTGGCTTTCTTCTTTATTTCAACTTAAAGTTTTTCAGCATTCCTTCTCTCCTTCTACAGTCTCTTCATCCTCTTCCATAAACCTCACTTCACTCTCGGCTAGAGCTACATAGTGAGACCCCAGCTGAAATTTTTTTTTAATTAAAAAACGATGAACAACCACATTGATGATAGAGCTAATAGCTCAATCTCAGTTCTTTGACTTTAGTTTCAATGACTCTTCAGTCTCCTTGAGACCACCTGGATTTTACCAGAACTGAGAGACATTGGGCCTGCAAGACCTTGGACTCACGTTTTTCTTCCTTGACTATGTTCTTTCTTCAGTTTCTTGTTAAAGTAGTCATTCAGTCCGTTAACAGTTACTAAACACTGTGCTAAGCCCTGTGATTCCAGTTCTTCCCCATTTTCCTATTCCGATAACCAGGAAAATTGTTCATGATACACTCTAAGATAGTAAAGTCGGCAGCTATGGCCAACAGGTCAGATATGTCTCACAGCCTGTTTTTGTAAATCATCTTTTATTGAAACATAGACCAACTTAGTCCTTTATAGTGACTGTACTTACTTTTCTGTACAGTGACGGAGACTATGTAGTATATAGATTGAAAATGTTGCCTGGTCCTTTACTGGAAAGTTTGTCAACTGCAGTTCTAAAGTTCTTCTGCTTCCACATTACTATCTACTTACCTTCTGATTCTCAGCTACCGTATTATTAGTCCTATTTAGTTAAGGATTAATAACTCTTGCTATTTTAAGCCAGTAAGGGGATTATTATAGAGATATCTTATAGAATATATGAGCGTGATTTATAGCTGATCAGAATAGAACTGAAACCAAAAAACCTCAAGGAGTAAGGAATCATTCAGTGTTTAGTCAAATTAGGTTGTTGTAACAAAATACTGTAGACTGGATGGCTTAAACAGCAGACGTTCATCTTTTACCGTTGCAGAGACTGCAAAGTCCAAGCTCAAGGAGCTGACAAACTCAGTTCTTGATGAGGGCCCGCTTCACTTGAAGATGACCATCTTCTCACTTTTTCTTCATATGGCATGGGTACAAGGGTAGGGTAGGGTGTAAAGAAGGGTAAGGAGGGGCCTAAGACTGCAACAGAGAGGACACACCATTTAGTCCATAATACTTTTTGTTCTGTTTCTTTCCATTTGGTTAACTAGTCTTTTCTCCTTATGTCCACATACTTCTTTCCTTTTAGCTTCTGATGTAATAGACTACAGTTCTAGCTACATTCAGTTTAGCTCTTTCAGTTTCCACTTTCCTATAGAGACTCACCTGAGTCAGTTTGCCTTCTGGAGATAATTTAGCTATAGACACGGGGTGGGAAGATCCAGAGGCACGATGTATAACCACCAAGCCTGGATCTAATAGTCATTTCAGGACTGCTCTGGGTGGAAGTATATACTGACTTTTTTTTAATCTGCCTACCCCCTTGACCTATTTATTAAATTTATATCAGTTTCATTGTTCCATTTACCTTAGCAATGTATTTTATGTCTGACAAATTCTGTAATACTCTTTCAGAATACACTAGCCAGATGTCTACATTCTTCCAGCTGAACTTGAGATTTGTTGGAGTTTATTATAATTGGTCCATATTATTTTGATTGGAATAGTGTTAGTTTATAGATTGTTTTGGAAAAAGATTGCAGTCTTAATAACAGAATGTAATTAACCATTTGGTTGACTGTTTAACTGTCCTTTTGTCTTTCAGAAAAAAACTTTTGGATAATTTTTATGGACCTTGAATTTTATTACTTTATTAATTTAATTTGAGTTGTGGGGGGGGTCTCACTATGTTTTGCAGGCTGGCCTCAAGCCCCTGGACTCAAGTAATCTTCCTGCCTCAGCCTCTGAAGTAACTTGGTTTATAGACAAGCACCACCATGCTCAACTTGATCCTATTTTGTTTTATGAGGCAGGGTCTTGCTGTGTAGCCCAAGAAGCCTGATCTCACTATGTAGTATAAGTTGGCTTCAAAACTACAGTAGTCTTTTTACTTCAGACTCTTAGAGTGCTGGGATTATAGGCATGAACCACCATGCCTGGCTCTAATCTTGTACATGTCGAGTTATGTTTATTCCTATGGTTTTTGTTGTTGTTGTTGTTACTATTTTAAGGAGCATAGTTTCATTTTTTCATTTTTTATTTTTATTTTATGTGTAGAAGTATTTTGTGTGTATGTGTCCCCATGTCGTGCAAAGTCCACAGAGGCCAGAAGAGGGTGTCGGGTCCCCCTAGAACTAGAGTTATGGTTGGTTGCTAGCCACTGTGTGGATGCTTGGAATTGAACCTGGGTCCTCTGGAAGAATAGCAAGTGTTCTTAATCACTAAGCCATCTCTCCAGCCTCCCATATTTCATTTTTCTATAATATTTATTAGCTGGGTTTTTTGGTGATAAGGCAGTGTCACACACATCCTACCCCCGAAGTTTGTCTTATTTCCCTGAATAAAACCTCCAGAAAAAATACCCATGACTAAACGATGCAGAGACTTTAACTTCTTAGAAGGAATTCACAATGCAGAGGAAGAGATACAGAACACTTTAAAAGAGCAGTGAACTGGGTATAGTGGTACACACCTTTAATCCCAGCACTCAGTAGGGAGGAGGCAGGTGAATTCTCTGTTCCAGACCAGAAAACTCTGTCATTCAAAAATAAAATAAATAAATAAATAAATGATAAAAGAACTGTGTATTGATGCCATGTAAGGAAAGTTCTTACTGTGGTTATTAGTGTGGTAATTGGCATATAAAAACTAGAACACCTATGTCTGTCTGGTGGATTTAGCAAAGAGTTTATAGGGTGGCTGCTTGGACTGAATCTCAACCCACTTTCTTTGGTAAGCAGTGCTGAAGAATGATTAAGAGGGATATACAAAGATAGTGGTGTGAAAGACAATAACTCAAGCAGTTTACCTGTGTAAAGTTGAGTTGAGCTTGGCCATGTCATAAAGAGTTGTGAGCATCATAATACCAGTATCAAAAAGAGCTGCCCTTTGACCTTAAAGGTGATGTGGTGCTGGTGACTCGTCAGGTGATGACATAAATAGAATTACATTTCTAAGCATGTCTCTGAAATCAGTATATGTAATTTGATGTGTCAGCTTAAAACCAAGACCAAGAATTAGATGGCTACCTGATTGTGAAGGTTGAAATAGGAAGGTAGATATTAGAAAAAATTCATCAATTAAGAGAAAGGGGAAAATCAGGCACTTAAGGATAGTAGATAATGACGTCAGGAATAAGGAGAGAGAAAAGAGGAAGTGGTGGTGGTCACACTGTAAAGCACTTAAGTGGAGGTATCCAAAGGACCTACTTATAGAACAGTGTTCTAAGGGTATAAACCTGGTTAATAGTTACACAAAGCAGTTGTCAAAAGTAGAGAATTAGAAAAGGCCAAGCTAGAGAGACAGCTAAACAAATAATGTGACCAGAAGCAGGGTCAAGAAATGGGATCATCAGCAATGCTGGTTGCTGCTGAATAAAGACGAAGGGAAAAAAAAATCCCATTGTATTGTTTGAAAGTCACTGGTGATTTGATGAGATGTTTCCCTGTGTGCTTTGGAAACAAATAATATAACTTACAGAATAGAGTGAATGAGAAGAGGTTAAGCAAGAAAAACAGAAAATGGAAAGCCACCATGTTATGATTTTGTTTGGGGTGACTTTTGTCAAGAAAAATATTGCAGGCTCAAAATGAAGTTGGTCATAGGATGGTAGGAAGGTGTCAATGAAAACTGTAGTTTGAAAGAAAAGGAGAGTTGAAGAACTGCTCAGAGGGATCAGGAGGGGTGGTGGATTACTTTTGGACATGAATGACATATGCATATCCTGTTGCAGATAAATTTTATAGGAAGAGTCAGACTGTTGAGGGAGCTTTACCATCCTTTTCTTTCATGTGTGAAAGGGAGCAATGTTAGTAAAAGTGAATTTAAGAGACAATACTAGCTTAAGTCATGATTCTAGTAGTTTTTCGGGGAATAAGATGATTTTGTTTTTAATTGGGGGAAGGGTATAAAAATTCACTATTGTTTCAAAGTACATTAGAAGACTAGCAAATTGAGAAATGATTATGAAAAAGGAAGTTGTTTAGGGTCACATATGAAGTGGAGTTACCAAATAGCAAGAGATATAAAATCAGCCTGCCATTCTGTTTTATCATACACCAGTGTACATCTTTTTTCCTTCAGCATGTGCAAGGTTTTTGTTTCTCACATATAATATATATTGGAGCTGAAAAACAATTATGAACCTAATGTCTTCTATCTTTAGAGGATTGACAATCTTTTGTATTGGAAAAAATATGATTTATGGTAGGTAAAGTCATAAGGTACCACAGATTGATTACCTTTTTTTTTCATTTCTTCCATTAACTAACTGTACCTTTGTATTTATTCTTTCTGGTGGATAGATACCCTCTCACTTCAATCCTTTATTGTAGGTACTGAATTTTACTTAATATTTTATCATTGTTTTCTCCAGTTTTATTTAAGATCCATTTCATTTGGTAGAGTTTCCTGAATCCTGACTTGTTATATAGTATCTACCATGCTTTAGATAGTAAATTCTGATTAATAAATTAATTGTAGCTTCCCCTGGTTCTTGGTCTTTCATCCTAAGAGCCTCTTACATGTTCTTTTCTCTCAAATGTTGGTCTTCTCATATTCCAGTAATGCTTTCTCATTCTAAAGTTTCCTGTACTGTTTTCTTCTCATGCTGTCCTTTGATAATCCCACAACTATGAAAACTAACAAAAAAAGTACATCATGTAACTAATGTTAAATAATGTTAAGCCAGGCACAGTGACACAAGCCTGTAGTCCTAGCTACCTAGGAATGCTGAAACAGAATCTCATGAGCCCTGTAGTTGAAGGCCTGCCTAGGCAACATACCAAGACCTGTGTCTTAAAAATTAATTTCATATATGTATGTCTTTTCCAGGAACTGTTCTAAGAAGTAGTTATGTACATGGACTAATTCTTACATTAAAGTTGTTTAGTAAAGCATACATACACACACACACACACACACACACACACACACACACACACACACACACACACACACACACACACACACACACACACACACACACACACACAGAGTGAGTTGATTTGTCTTAAATTGTTATATATTGTTCATATATATATATATATATATTATAATTTCTCCTTGCCATTGAGAGTTTGGCTCATATTTACTTATTTATTTACTTTTTTACAAATATTCCAGATGTTTTAAACAGAGATAAGGACGAAGAACCAACTGTGAAACAAGAAATGGAAGAAATCGAGGAACACGTGGAACCACAGGGTGTAATAGTTACAAGAATCAAAAGTGAAATTGACCAGGATCCTATAGGTAGAGAAACCTTTGAACTTGTTGGTAGGTTAGATAAACAAAGAGGTATCTTCTTATGGGAAATACCACGGGAATCTTTGACCCAGGAACAGAAAATGTTTAGAGGAAACACTAACATTATCCGTAAGAGACCAAACTCTGAAGAGAAATGTCATAAATGTGAAGAATGTGGGAAGGGCTTTGTCCGCAAGGCCCATTTCATTCAACATCAAAGGGTCCATACTGGTGAGAAACCTTTTCAATGCAATGAATGTGGAAAAAGTTTTAGTCGCAGTTCATTTGTTATTGAACATCAGAGAATTCACACTGGGGAAAGGCCCTATGAGTGTAATTACTGTGGGAAAACCTTCAGTGTGAGCTCAACCCTTATTAGGCATCAGAGAATACACACTGGAGAAAGGCCTTACCAGTGTAATCAATGTAAACAGAGCTTCAGCCAGAGAAGAAGCCTTGTAAAACATCAAAGGATTCACACAGGTGAGAAACCCCATAAATGTAGTGACTGTGGGAAAGCGTTCAGTTGGAAGTCACACCTTATAGAGCATCAGAGAACTCACACTGGTGAGAAACCCTATCACTGTACCAAATGTAAGAAAAGTTTTAGTCGAAACTCATTGCTTGTTGAGCACCAGAGAATTCATACTGGGGAAAGACCTCATAAATGTGGTGAATGTGGGAAAGCCTTTAGGCTAAGTACATACCTTATTCAACACCAAAAAATCCACACTGGTGAGAAACCTTTTCTTTGTATTGAATGTGGAAAAAGCTTCAGTCGGAGCTCCTTCCTTATTGAACATCAGAGGATCCATACTGGTGAACGGCCTTACCAATGCAAAGAATGTGGGAAAAGTTTCAGTCAACTTTGCAACCTTACTCGTCATCAGAGAATTCACACAGGAGACAAACCCCACAAATGTGAGGAATGTGGAAAAGCCTTCAGTAGAAGCTCAGGTCTTATTCAGCACCAGAGAATACACACCAGGGAAAAGACTTACCCATGTAATGAAACTAAGGAAAGTTTTGATCCAACTTGCAGTCTTGTTATGCAGCAGGAAGCCTACCCTAAGGAAAAATCTTATAAATGTGATGAATGTGGGAAAACTTTCAGTGTTAGTGCTCATCTTGTACAACATCAAAGGATCCACACTGGTGAAAAGCCTTACCTGTGTACTGTTTGTGGGAAAAGCTTTAGTCGAAGTTCATTCCTCATTGAACATCAGAGAATACACACTGGTGAGAGACCTTATCTGTGTAGACAGTGTGGCAAAAGTTTTAGTCAGCTTTGTAATCTTATTCGACATCAGGGTGTTCACACTGGTAATAAACCCCATAAATGTGAGGAATGTGGGAAAGCCTTTAGCAGGAACTCTGGTCTTGTTCAACATCAGAGAATACACACAGGAGAGAAACCTTATAGGTGTGAGAAATGTGACAAAAGTTTTAGTCAGCAACGCAGCCTTGTCAACCATCAGAAGAGTCACACAGAGGTGAAAACCCAAGAAATTCATGAATGTGATGCTTGTGGTGAAGCCTTTGATTGTCAGATTTCTCTAATTCAGCATCAAAAATTGCATATTATGTGGATGCAGTAAACTTAGAGACATTTGTATGCTCAAATTTGAGAATAGCTACCGAAGTGCAGTTAGTGTCATTCAACATGGGTCAATATTAGTGATAAAGTAAATTCTCCTTGGCCTCACACAAATGGTTTCTGAATATTCTGTGAATAGTAGACAGTGCCCATGGGCAGTTGACTTATAATCACTTTCCTTTCATAGTCACAGAGAAAAGCTCATTGATTTATATAAGCGTCTTTAACATTTCAGTAGAGTTGAACTGAGGTGCAGAGTATGTGAGAGATAGTCTGAAGGACAAAGTTAACAATACAAGGGAACTGGAAGCAGCCGATATTTGAAAACTGAGAATTGTAATTCAAGGAGTCCTCAATTACCACCTTATAGTTGTCTTTCATTTCCATAACATTTGGTTATACACGGCCAAAACCGTGTGATATGTAAGTTGTGCAAATGCAGATCCTTTCAAAGCCAGCATAACAAAGTTTTGTCATTTAAGAAAGTTGGTTGGCAATTGAGTTAGTGAAGGCAGACATAACAGTGCTTCCCAGGCTAAGTGAGTGAATCATTAACTTGTAAAGATATTTTGTAAGTAATTGAACCAATAAAGGTATTACCAAGGAATCTTTGGGAGTGCCTTCCCCTGACCTCCAAAAGGTAGAAGATTCTGGGTTTTTGTGATGTCCTATCTGTGAAAGCTATTTGTAATACTATATGGATATAAGCTTATTCCTGCATAACCAGGAGCATGTGAGAGTGTACATATTTTGGTTACCAAGATTTGGAAATTGAAAAAAGGAAGTTTATGCTCAGAATCTGAGATATTTTGGAATTGTTTCAGGTTTATGGTAGATTTTGCATGCAATTTTTAAATCCTTGTTTCCAATTCCAAGGCATCCCTTAGTTAATAGTTACACATCTATCCATCTATTTTAGTCATTAAAAATGATTTGGGATTTTGCTTTGTGGAAGTGTTCTTTGTTATTTTAGGGTACTATCAGCCCTAATACTGTGTTTTTAATATTAGAATCAAAGGTTTGAAGTAAATTACACATTCTCTACCTGTGACCTGTTAACATTTTTTTTGAGCAATTCAACATAAGATTAAATACAAAATTCCAAATCATCAGAACCCTAATTCTGACACTACTGATTTGAGCAGATTACCTCTTTTTTTCTTATATACCACTCATTCTAAAATTTACTTCCAAGCTTTCTTCTCATTTCTGAATATCGTGTGCTTGTGTGTATGCGCATGCGCACACACATGTGCATGTAAGTATGAAGGTTGTGTATGGAAATCCACTCTGTTGTTAGGTGCTCTTATAATACAGTTAAGATTTCAAAAACAAAGTCTGTTGCCTAAAGTATTTTTAAAGCCATACCTAATTGAGGCCGCTGAGATAGCTTGCTATCTCAGATAAAGATCTTTGCTGCCAAGCTGGACGACCTGTGTTTAATTCCTGGGATCTACAATAGTGGAATCTACAAATTGAACTTGCTTGAGGACTAGGGAATATAGAAGCTAAGGCAGCCCTTGATAAAAGCAGATCAAGAGAGTTTTCATGCTAAAGCAGTCTGCATAAAGTTTATGTGGTAACCTTGTGTGTGGTGCCAAAAAGCACATGGAGCTCTGAATTTTCACATCCAAATACCTATATATAACTATTAGCCTACTCAATTTCATTAGATACCCCCCCAATTTACTGCGAATGCTACCTTTAATGTTCCTAGTCCATGTACAAAACTAGAAAATAAAAGGCATCAGGTTTAATGTCAGGGAAAGTTGAAGAATTCATCAAATATGTTTCATTTTTGAAAAATCAGAAAATTTGTGTTTTGAGAGGAAGGAAAAGGGGTAGACATGGGGGTAGAGTAGTTGGAGCTTTGTCAATAAAGATTTGAAGTAGCAAGGAGAGTGGGAGAAGAAAATAAAACTGATAGCTTATAAAGTTCTGTTTAGAGATTAGCTGAAGACTGAATTTTATAAACTCAGTTCCTTTGGGGAATTAACGTGTGGGACAATTTTGAAAGTAAATTAAGATGAAGGTAGATGAATCTAAATTTTAATCAGCAGATAAAATTCTGGAAGGAGTCTGATGGCAGAAATGTTGGATACTAGAATACTTGCATTTCTGTATGGTTTTGATGAGTATTGCACTCATTGATGATGTCAATGAATCTGGGTGCATCCGTGCTTGAGTTTAGTATCTGCTTAGAAAATAAATCTCAACTTTGAAAAATCTAATCCAGATATCCCAATTTTTTAAATATTCTCAGTGACTTTCCAATACCAGACTCCTCTGAGAGTGTTTGTGCATGTCTGTAACTATAACAGGTGAAGAAATAGAAAACACATGGCCCCCAGACCCATTGACATGTATTTTTAAAGTGCCTACCAGGTGCTGTTATTTAAGTATTAGTTGCTCAGTTGCATCAATCTCTTCTTCATTCATGTGGAGACAGAAATAGTCAGATGTATGCACTGAATCAAGGAAAAGACTGGAGAAAAATCACATCTCTTTCAAAACAGAGTTTTGATTAACTATGCATTTGTCCTTGCTTTCAAGGACAAGTTTCTATGTTAATCCAATGGCTAATGTAAACCTCTCTATCACATGGTAGTCAGTGCATCCCTGGAACTAAGAATGGCACTCTACCTTCCTATAAATTTCCTGAAAGTCAAAGGGGACAGGGCAAGAGAAGATTAGAAATATCTGCAGGAATATGTCTTGACCTTGAATAAGTATCTTAGGAGAAAAGTTAATTTCTCTGACATTTGAGATCCTGAACTACAACCTGACAGCTCTGACTTTGAATTGCCACAGAATTACTGATGTGTTTAGACTATGCCCTATTTTACCTGTGCCACAGTGCTCAAAATGCTGAATTTATGCATGGATGTAAGTCTCTCAGAACCAGGTGAATAATTTTGAGATTTTATTCGTCTCAAATGCTTGCCTATTAGAGTACAATGGAGACTTTATTAGGGTAGTAAATTGTTGTGCTATATAAGAAGAAGTCTCGGTTGTTGTTTTCTTCACTCTAAAGATGTCCTGTCCACCCACCCATCACACTGCCAACATGCCAGACCCTCTTTGGGATTGCTATTATAGAAGTTTAACTGGTTCTGATTTTTCTCCTGATCCTGTGCTATCTAAAAAAGTAATTATTAGGATTTTTTTTTTTCTTTTTGAGACAGGGTCTCCCTGTAACCCCAGCTGGCCTGGCACTATGTAGACCAGGCTGGCCCCAGTCTCAGAGATCTGCCTGCGTCTGCCTCCCGAATGCTGGAACTAAAGGTGTGCACCACCACGCCCAGCAGCAATACTTTCAAATTGTCATTTGCTTTAAAATCTACAACAGAGCCCTATTTTTTTCACTTCAAGGCAAGACTTTCAAAAATATTCCTCCTCCCCAGTCCCCATTCCAACCATGCTACTCCACTGGGATTCACTATCTCAATATGTGTGATGGCTAATCTTTAAAAAAAAAAATATTTTCATACAATATAATTTGATGGTATTTAAAAACTGTCCTCTATCTTCACCTCCCATATATATACTTTCTATAGACTCTAATTTGTGTCCCCACATACCCTTCAGTGTGGGTCCATCCACTGCATCTTGGTTAACCCACCAAGAGTTCCATGCTTGAAGGAGACTGTCTTTGTTCCTCCCAGCAGCCATCGGTTGCCAAACGTTCCTTAGGTTAGGTTGGGGTTTCTTACCCACTTCTTTTTTTTAAATATTTTGTTCATTTTTATGTATATGAGTATTGCCTGCATGTATGTGAGTGCACCCGTGTCACGCAATGCTGTGGAAGTCAGAAGAGGGCTTCAGATTCCCCTGGAACTGGAGTGAAGGATGGTTCATAGTTGCCGTGTGGGTGCTGGGAATTGAACCCAGGTCCTCTGCAAGAGCAGTCAGTGCTCTTAACCACTGAGTCATCTCTCCAGCCCCTCTTAGCCACTTCTTAATGCTAGAATATTATCTGGTTTGAGCTTTTATGGGGCTTGTGCATGCTGTCACCATTACTATGAGTTCATATGATTAACTGGCCAGCTGTCTGCAAAACTCTGTTTCCTTGTGGTCATCCACAACCTCTGGTTCATATAGTCTTTCTGTCCCCTCTTCTGCAATGATTCCTGAGCCCTAGGGGGCAGAAGTTTGATATAGGTGTCATGCAGAGCTAAGCACTCTGTGGCCTCTTGTTCTCTACACATTGGCCAATTGTGGGTTTCTGTGTTAATCACCGTGTGTTGCATAAGGAAACTTCTTCAGTGGCATTAATCTATGGGTATTACAATAAGTCATTAGAAGTCAGTTTAACACAATAACTATTTAGTAGAAAACCAATATTAGGTTCTCCCTTATGTCCTGTGGCTTCTCTAGTCTCATATTCCTAAGCCTGATATCAGTGTTAGGTATGGGCTTCATCCTATGAAGTGCAACTTAAATCCAATTAAAGAGTGGTTGGTTACTCTCATAATATCTGTGCCACTATTGCACTGGTGGGCATATCTTTCCAGGTGACTTCAGGATTTTGATACCCTCTTCCTACAGGAAAATTGCACACCCCTGTCCTGTTGAGTTGGAAATTAATTATGTTGATTGATGTGTGTCACTTTGGAGCAATAACATCGAGATCTGTCTTGTGGCTTGCTGTTTCTTACTAGTGGACATATCTTCTAGGCCAGTTGCTGTAGCTTGCAAGATTCGCAGCTGGTAAGGCTCATGCTTAATTTTACCTAAAGAGATAGCTTGCATAGCCCTTCAGTACAGATATATCAGGTAGTAGTAATGGAAAATATATAAATCATCACCCCAGAGAACTATAATTTAGCCTTGATAGAAGTAACAGCCTTTGTTGTAATAAATGCTTAACCATTAATGGTTATTTGAGGTTCTTTCTAGTATAGGTTCAATGATTCTGATTCAGCTCTAGATAAACATTTTAGGCAGAAGAAATCTAAGTATAGTGTGATATATTGCGGGAAATTTTAGGCAGAAGGAAACATTTTAGGCAGAAGAAACATTTTAGGCAGAAGAAAACTTTAAGTGCAGTGTGATATATTGCAGGAAAATAAGTTTTCCTTTTATTGTACTAAACTTTTATTTACTATTTAATGTTCAAGTTGCAAATTCTAGTCTTTGAAAAGGAAGCCAGAAAGTATTTGACAGTTCAATGCAAAGAGATCAAATGAAAATCTGTCCCTTCTACCAAAATTTTCTGGACGACATCATCTGCTTCTTGGAATGTAAAGCCAAATTCAGAAAACCACTCCCAATACCTTCCTCATCCTCCACCCACCATCTAATCATTGTCATATCTGTGACCAATTTGATAACACCTCAATTGTTTGAATTTTTTCTCTGCTTTATTCTCAGAATTTTTATCTGGATGCCCTTTAATGCGTGTTTTCAATATATTGTTTTGATATCCTCCAATGAGATGTGACTCTGCAAACCTAGACCTTCATCAGTACTCTACTGTGTTTTAACAAATTATTGGAACAAGTCTGGAATCTGAGGTCTGTGCTTCTCAACTGCTGCACTGAAATCCCAGGAAACAGAAGTTGGGAGGAGGAAACAGCTTATTTAAGGCCAGTGCTGAAGAAATTAAGAGTCCTTGTCTCTAATCTCCATGATCCAGAGCATATGGTCTTACTGATTGTCTGAAGAAATGCATCAGGAAATGTAGAAACCCTACACCAGTGACAGAGGTATAGAACGCTGCCCATAACTTTACCATGACCTTCCTCCCTGGCTCTGGGTCCATTATATGAGAAAGAGATGTAAATTCTAACCTCTCAGCTCCACAGTACCTGTGTGACCCTTGGCAAGCTAACCTTTTTTTTTTTTTTTT